AGAAGAGATATAGCAAGTAATCCTTATAAATAATCCCAACTTTTAATTTTTACGCTTAATTTCTATTTAAAATTCACTTGTTATAGGAGGTAATATTTGGTCATGGACCATTATTGGCGGACGGTCCATATAGTTGGGATTATACAAAAATAATCAATAGTTGGGATTATTGTCAGCGGACCGGCAATAGTTAGGATTATTATTTTCAATTTTTCCTATAAAAAAAGAGCAAAAGATAAGTATCATGACATAACAGAAAACTTGAGTTTGAAATCAGGAAAGCTGCAGGATTCCAAAAATATAGCCAGCACATGTAGAATTCCAGCTCCCAGCAAGCCCACTACATCCTCCATACCATGAGATGGTCTTCCATCTCATGCCCACTGAAGAGAAGCATGGAGAGGCATGGAGAGGAGGCATGGGTTGTAGCATGGGCACCGACGGCCGACCTGTTGGACCACCTGCTGTGCCACGTCATCTGCCACATCAGCAACACGTCACTGCCCAGGTGGTGCCACGTCATCAGCTTGGTTGGCTGCCCACTGGTTTGGGCCAGAACCGGTCCGGTTCGGCTTGTGGTTCAATACTCCGGTTCACGCTCTTCCCGGCCGGTTTTTGAAGAGGTGAAACCGGTTCCCACCATTTTCGGGCATTCCGGATTCAACGGTGTGCTCCGTTTGGCCTAATTCAGCTTCCAAATTGAGGTACGGGAATAAGTGTACATTTTTATCATGGAAAAGTCATCTTCGGATACAATGATTGCGCTCACTTCCACAAATTACAACATGTGGAAACCACAGATGGAGGATTTGTTAAATTTGAAAGATTTAGCAGATCCTCTTGATAATAATGGTGTCAAACCAGATAAAAAGACGGATGAAGAATGGGCTAAGATGAACAGAAAAATTGTCGCACAAATCCGACAGTGGATTGATCATAGCGTGTTCCATCATGTTTCTCAAGAGCAAAGTGCTCACACACTATGGGAGAAACTTAGTAGCATGTACCAAGCAAAAACTGCTCGGAATAAAACGCTGCTGATGAGACGATTAGTGAACCACAAGTTACGTGGTGGCATTTCTGTGTCGGAACACACGAGCCAGTTCCAGGATCTTGTGAACCAATTGAGCACCACCGGATGGGTCCTCAAAGATGAAGAACAAGCAATACTTTTGCTTAGCTCTCTACCTGATAATTGGGAGACTCTTGTTGTTACTCTCAGTAATTCTGCCCCAAATGGTACCGTGACTACGCAGATGGTCACGGACGCCTTGATGAATGAGGAAGCACGAAGGAAGGAAGCTGGGACTGATCAGTCTTATGCTCTCGTCTCAGAAACCAGCAGGCAAGGGGGAGGCAGAAATGGAGGTAGAGGACGAGGTCGAGGCAGAGGCAGAGCTCGAGGTCAAAGTAGAGGGAGATCTCAAGCTCGAGGAAGATCACAAGAGCGGGGAAAGTCCGTCAATACCAATACTTGGTTCGAGGGCTATTGCAACCATTGTGGTCATTACGGGCACAGAAAGAGGGAATGCCGAAAGTTTCTACGGGAGCAGCCTCAGACGAGTCAAAGTTCAAGCAAGGAAGATGGTGAGACCATGGTCACCATGGCATCGGACATTGCACTTGTTACTTGCGGAGAAGAAGCATGCCTACACGTAGGTACGCATGATATTGAGTGGGTGATTGATACCGCTACATCATTTCACGTCACTCCGCACCAAAGTCTATTTGCAACTTATAATTCCGGAGACCATGGTGCTGTGAAGATGGGAAATACGAGTTTCTCAAACATTGTTGGCATTGGAGATGTGCACATTCAAACAAGTGTTGGTTGCACACTTGTGTTGAAAGATGTTCGACATGTTCCAGATCTGAGATTGAATCTTATCTCAGGAGTTGCTCTGGATCGTCAGGGGTATGAAAGCCAGTTCAAAGAAGGTACGTGGAAATTATCTAAAGGCTCTATGATTATTGCAAGAGGTCATATTTGTGGTACTCTTTACAAAACCCATGTAAAGTTGTGTCGTCCAAGTCTCAATGCTGTTCAAGCAGAGACATCACCAATTCTGTGGCACCAGAGGTTAGGTCACATGAGCGTGAAAGGACTGACAACTCTTGCAAAGAAGGAAGCAATCTTTATTGATAAAGATGTCGCTCTGGATCCCTGCGAGCACTGTCTATTTGAGAAACAACATCGAGTTTCTTTCAGTTCCACTAGAAAGAATCATTCTGAAATACTCGATCTTGTCCACTCTGATGTATGTGGACCCATTGAAGAGGAGTCACTTTCTGATGTATGTGGACCCATTGAAGAGGAGTCACTTGGAGGCAGCAGATATTTTGTGACATTCATTGATGATGCGTCACGAAAGGTATGGGCTTACTGTCTCAAAACTAAGGATCAAGTATTTGACCGCTTTAAAATATTTCATACTATGGTAGAAAGAGAGACATGAAAGAAGCTGAATTGCCTTCGTTCTGACAATGGAGGCGAGTACACTTCCCGAGAGTTCTCAGCATATTGTGCTGAACATGGAATCAGGCATGAGAAGTCGGTGCCACGGACCCCACAACATAACGGTGTAGCCGAAAGAATGAATCGAACTATTGTGGAGAAAGTTCGGTGCATGCTCAGTATGGCTAAACTACCAAAGCCATTCTGGGGTGAAACTGTGTTGACAGCTTGCTATCTTATAAACAGGTCACCCTCAGTTCCTTTAAACTTTGAAGTTCCTGAGAAGAAATGGTCAGGAAAAGACATTTCTTACAAGAACATCCTCACAAGGTTTGGCGTCCCCCAACAAATCATCTCTGACAATGGAACTCAGTTTGAGGCAGCTCCCTTCTGTGCCCTCCTAGAGGCATGGGGCATGAAACACACATTCTCATCAGTTGCCTACCCCCAAGGCAACAGTCAAGTAGAGAATGCCAAACGAACTCTACTTGAGGGGCTAAAAAAGAAGCTGGAAGCCGAAGGGGGAGGCTGGGTAGAAGAACTTCACAACATCCTATGGGCCTACCGCACCACCCCTCGGCGGGCAACATGCGAAACACCCTTCTCCTTGTGTTATGGGTTCGAAGCGAAGGCTCCAACTGAGGTAACTCTCCCAACCCGAAGTGTGGACCAATATGAACTTGAGGTCAACGACGCCAACATGGTCCTCGACCTTCACCTCATCTCAGAACGCCGAGAGCAAGCCTTCCTAAGGTCGGAGAACTATCGGCGATAAGTCAAAGGCTACATCGACGCCAAGGTTCGTTCCCGAGAATTTCAAGTAGGGGACTACGTCCTCCGACGAAGGGAGGCCAGCCTACCTACCGAAGGCGGAAAAATGGGCCCAAAGTTCGAGGGCCCATACATCGTCACAGCCATCATCAAGCCTGGGACATACAAACTAAAACGCCCTAATGGGACATAAGTCCCTAGACATTGGAATGTACACCACCTAGTCAAATTCTATCAATAGCATATGATCAACGGCCCAAGGCCCCTTCTCCTCATGGAGTAAAACAAAGTACTAAGTACAAAGTACGCGGGATACGCCCACTACTCTGAAAACACCAAGTGTTTTTTTTGTAAGCCGTTCCCCTCGAGGACGCCCTCATGCATCATTTCTTCATGCATATTCATACATACATACATACATAAAAAAACCTAGGGTGTAATAACCCCTCGGCTCCGGCTGGCACCAAGTGCCCCCGGCTATTTGTGTCTCACACACAAATATAACCCTCCCCAGAAACGCTTTCCGCGCCATCCCCCAAAGGGAGGCAGGCAATGGACCATGTCCCGGGCCCAAGATTCGACTTTCAAAAGCGAAACGCTCCCCGCGCTATCCCCCAAGGGGAAGCAGGCAACAGACCATGTCTCGGGCTGAGGGGACGACTTTCAAAACCGAGGCGCTTTCCGCGCCATCCCCCAAGGGGAGGCAGGCAACAAACGATGTCTCGGGCCGAGGAAACGACCCTCAAACCCCTCGGGAACCGGGAGGTCAATCCCCGAGGGCGGAGCCAATGGTTTATTCCATTGCCTCCCATATATGCCAAACCTTTCCTAGAAACCAAGTTTCTTGATGTCCCTCCTACAACATTTAAAAAAAAATGTGTAGGGGGGAGGAACTCCTTGGAAGATTTCCCAGAGGCTCTATAACAACACAGAGTTACATTCCCGAAGACTCTTTCCAAAGATACATGGGATTCTCTAAGATCAAAGCTATTCGACTACATAACCGAAGGCTTCACTACACAACAGACTCACCAAAATTTGGCTAAGTCCAAATTTGGACTGATACCTAAGTCTGATACCGAAGGCAACCACTCAAGCCATTGGACCATCTTCTCGAAGGCACTCCAAGAAGTACAAGCACTCTCTAAGTCAAGGCAACAAACTAAATCTGAGGGCTTACCACAAGGTCTGTTGAAACATCCGAGGGCTTACCACAAGTCCACAATTCGGTGCCCCTCGGGAAGCACCCATGGACTTCAATATCACTAGCTGACTTCTACTCGAGGGCAACCTCAAATTCCTCAACCGAGGGCCTAATCCCATACTACAAGTTAAGGGCTCAATGTCGCTGGGTCATTACCGAGGGCCTAGGGTGGAATTTCACTTAGAAAATTTTCTAAGTCTAATTCATTTTAGCCCTCGATCATTTCATGGAGAGAGACAAAAGCATAAATCAAACAATATATCCGCGGGCACGCAATTACATGGGACTTGCTACTTCATATCGATAAAGGCGAACCTCCGTCGAAGGCTCAAGGGTTAATTGTACTTAGGAAATTTTTTTCTAAGTCCAGAAATATTGGCCCTCGGATTACTATTGAAGATTCACAACAGAAAACTTACATTCATACATGAAGGAAAGAAGGCATACGTGGAATTGAGGCTAAATGAATTACAAAGGCATACACGCATACGAGACAAATCCGAAGGCATCATCAAAAAATTGTCATTCGAATATTCAAGTACAAAAGATGTTTGTTTACATGCATGACCGGAGCCGAAGGCTTACTGCCCAATTACAACAAAAAATTACAAAGGAAAATTTCCTAAGTATCGATTACTTGGACATCCTCCTCCACAACCTTTGAGGTGGCATCCTCCCCGGCCTCTTCATCCTCATCATCACATCTGGCTAGCTCAGAGTCTTCTAGCAACTTCCTCTCTACGCCCGGGGGGAGGGGAACACGAACATCTGGCTGCAGAGGGGGGAGACCATAGGGTGCCGGGCCAGCTTCCGGTAAAGATTAGCTTGGGTGAAGTACTCACCGCCTTCATAAAAGCTCTTACCCTTCTAGTCAAGCCACATCGCGCCGGGGCCCGCCACCCACTCATCTACGGCTTCCGTCACCACCGAGGCCACCCATGGTTTCTTGTCCTCGACTTTCCATCCCTCAGCGGTAAAGGCAGCGAGGGCGTCCTTCTTACCCTGAGCAATGGCCTCCTACTTGTCGGCTTCGGCTTTTGTGGCAGCCTTCTGGGCTTCCTCGGCGGCAGCCTTCTCCGCGATGGCCTTACACTTGGCCTCGGCATCTTTCAGACTCTGATCCATCCCCTCGGTGGCCAGCCGGAGGGTCTCCTCCAACTCCGCCATCTTCCGCACGGCTTCGGTATTTGTCACGACGAGCATCTTGAGAGTCTTGGCGGACTGGATCTTCCGGAGGGGCATTTGTTCTAACCTCCGGATATGCTCGCCGAGGGCTACACTAGCCTGCAAACAAATAAAAGAGCAATGAGGATCAAACTTACAAAGGGAAGGCACTAAGGAGAATCGATTAAACGAAGGAAGCACTGGACACTTACGGTAACGGAGGCTTGAATTATCTTGGCTTCGAGGGACTCATCCTCGAGCTTGGCCAGCGCCTCTCTATCCTTCGAGGGGGTCGCCCCCCCTGATAAACTCAGTGGGATTGAGAGTCCCATACATGATGGCAGTTCCCTTTGTAAGGGAAAACCGCACCTCCTCCCGAGGCCAGTTAGCATCCACAGCCGGAGGGGAACGGGGGGTAGTCACCCACCTGAGATGTGGCTCGGGAGAAGGCTGCTTCTCCAGGACGATCCCAGGAACATCCCTCCCGGGGTCAGCTTCTTCTTCTTCTTCTTCTTCTTCTTCTCCGGAGGCACGACGCCCTTCCCGGCTCTCTTTCTCTTCAGCTCCTCAGCTTTGGAGCCTCCGGCATCAATTTTCTTTGAGGGGCCCTCCTCCTCTTAGCCCTCGGCCACTTTGTCCTTCTTGAAGAAGGAGTCTACGAGCTTCTGCACCGAAGGCCCCTCCTTCTTCTTGCCCTCTTTGGCAAGTTGCTTCTGGAGCTTAGCGAATGCCTTAGGGTCCATAGCTTCACCTGCAAAAGACAAGCAAGTGTTAGAATCAAAACAAATCAAAGCTAGAAAATTTCTAAGTACTAAAGATAAGAGCCCTCAGCAACAATCTCCGACATTTTGGTAACCTCAGTCAATCAGGGGATATCTCTCATCTTTCTCCCCCACCAGTCGGTATCGCCGGAAGTCCAACAAGTACAGATCCTCCGGGAGTGTCGCATCCTTGATAGAGTATGATTTATCAGAGCCCTCCGGCTTCGCCGAGAGCTTCTTTCCATTCTTCTCGAGGGACGCGCTCCCGACCTTCGGGTGCCTCCGAAAGCTATTGTGGAGGGGAGAAGGGAAGGGGTTCTCCGCCATGCGGATATAACAAAACTTGTCCTTCCATCCTTTGAGGGACGAAGGCGCCTCCGAGAACAATCTCCATGCAGGAACCTGCTGAAGGTTGGCAAAGCCTCCAACATGAGAATGACCCCCCCCCCCCCCCCCCCCCCCGCATAAGTTGAAGAAAAGGAAGAATTGATCTAGAGTGGGATCCACTCCCCTGCTCCGACAAAGGGAAAGAAAGCCAGCTAAGTAAGAGTGGCTATTGGGGGTTAACTGACAAGGGGCCAGCCCCACGAAACGGAGGTACTCCTTGACAAACCAATGGATTGAGAACCGGAAGCCCATCTCCACAGATAAAAGGTGAACGGAGAAATAGCCTTCGGGGGGGGGGGGGGCGTGATAGCACATCATCTGGTCCCGGCTCCACCACCTGTGCCGAAGGCCCAACGAAGAATTGTGTTGCCTGGTACTCAGCCTCAGTAGCCTTCGTTCGAAGCTTGAGGGCGACAGTGTTCAAGTATGAGTTCCCCTCTGGAATTCCCACTGGCTGTCCCGCGTCAACGACAACTTGTTTCTTCTTGGGGGCTGCCCTCAGCTTCTTCTTCTTACCCGGGGCCGTCCTCAAAGGCTCTAGGTTCAGTGGCCGGAAGCTACTTGCTTCTCCAGCACCACGAGGGGGCAGGACAGCGACAGTAATTTGCTGCCTCTCTTTTTCTTCCACCTCCTCGACAACTTGAAGAGCAAGGGCTAGCTCTTCATCCTCCTCCATCTGCTCGAACTCTGCGGCCTCCAACTCAGTTCGGAGGTGGCCTTGAACTTCTTCAGCCACCGCGGAGTCATTTGCTACCGACGGCTGCTCACTGGAGGACTCCACGTCTGATATACTCTCGGATTCTACCGACGCCTCCCTCGATATGTTTTGAGAATCGCTTGCTGAGGACATCTTTCGGTACAGTAGGGGAGGGAATTGGAGAGAATGGAAATCCTAAGGCTTCAAAAGTCTCTAACACTAAACCTAAGGCTGGGAGGCAAAGTATACTAAGAAATTCGAAGACGGGGGAAGAACTGACCTCAAGAACTTGGGTTTGATCGAGTGCAAGTGTTTCTCTCTCTAGAAAATTTGGCAGAGCTTCGCTTCACAATGATCGCACAAGGATAAATGGCCCTAGCCTTGGGGTATTTATAGGCATCAAGGCTAGGGTTTAAGCCCACAAATTGGGCCTCGGGTTGAAGGCCCATCAGCGCCAACCGTCGCCTCAGCCAATGGGTGGCACCCGCCCGCTTTCGGCCAACGAAAGCATGCCACGTGGACTCCACCACCAACGGCTCTATTCTAACGGTCATATCCCAACGACTATATTTTGGAAACATTGAGGTGTTCTCAGGTGAAGCCTTCGGCTATCCCCAACAAAAGCCTTCGGTGGACAACTGTCACCAAGTGCCTTCGGACAGCAGCAGCATAAGCCTTCGGCTTATCAATGTTGCCACGCCCCAGTCACTGACACCCCTCGGGAACTCATAAGCACATCATAAATCCTTTAGCCCGAACTTGCCTTCGGTCTAAAGGAGTGGGGGACTGGGGGTACACCCCTCGGGAGCCACCCAAAAACAAAAATTGTCATACAAAGAACTACAAATAACACATTTAGCCTTCGGTCAAACGTCAAAAACAAAACCCCTCGGGTAAATGGCATCAATATACCCTTCGGAAAAAGAAAAATTGCCAAAACTTCTTAGACGTACCAAGGTTGACGAAGCAGCTTTCGCACCAACAGAAGATGCACGCTCATCTACACTTCCCCTTCTGGTAGCCCTCAGCCCTCGACATGTGGGGGACTGAGGGAATGCCCTCGGCGGACGCTGGAAAACATGGTATTAGCACAAGGCATCCGACACAACAACAGAGCCTTCGGCAAAGTCAACACATCAACACAATTACTCCTTTTCCCTCAAATACCTTTCGGCAAAAGGAGTGGGGACTCCTGATGGAGTATATGGCCCAGGGACCCCCGGCCCACAAACTCCTACTTCTCCTAAACAGGCCCAATGAGCCCAAGGAGCACCCAAGGCCCAAACACAGCGGCCCAAGTGTCAAGAAGCCCACAACACACGTGTAGGTGCCTTCGGCCTCCTTGGTCGAGGGCTCCAAATTCCACAGGGCAGCCAGATTTGAGCATACAAAGTTACTGGGAGAAAACGGCAGAAAACGGTAGCCCTCGACTACCAGAAGCCCTCGGCACATACACAGCCTTCAGCTACTCAATAGCCTTCGGGAATATACTACTGGTCAAAGGGTCTACGCTCTACGAAGCTTCCTCTGGAGACACGCAACCACCGCATTTAATGCGGTGCACATGCGATTGCCTTTGCCACCCCGATTGAGGTGACCCTCGGCCGCTAGATTATTGACACGTGTACTTACGTAGCATTTATGGCTGCTATAAATAGCACCTCTTTTCCCCATTGTAAAAGGGATCTACACTTGATCCCAGATCAGAAGTTCATTAATAACATCTGACTCTCTCTCTCTTACTTGTTTGCTCTGACTTCTCTCTAAGTTATTTCCGCAATAACCCTCGGATAAGCTACCCCCCGGGTACACTATCCATCACTCTTCATTAAATATTTATAGCATGACTTATACTTTATGACATTAGCTTATTGTACTCTTATTTTTTGAAAATGTAGAATCTTACAAAGTTATTTATTTTTTTAATATTTAATTACATTATGAGTAAAAATATATGCACCAACTGATATTTCTCGTGCGTATGCACGGGTACTATACTAGTAATGATTAAAAATGAGTAAAGGGTCAGTTTGGTCCTCAAAGTTGCAAAAAAGGCGTCAAATAAGTCCTTATATAGAAGATTCTGTCCGGACGTGCCATTTGAGATGGCTCCCGGTGGAATTTTGTGATAAATTTTTTTGAGCATCTTATTCATTAAGTCTAGTTTACTCATACGAAATTTCAGCTAAAAATTAAATCGGGAAGACATTCAAAATGAATTCTTGAAGATAACAACGCTTTTAACGGCACAGTTATCTTCAAGAATTCATTTGAATGTCTTTCCCATTGATTTTTTATCTGAAATTTGGTATGAGTAAACTAGACTTAATGAATAAGATGCTCAAAAAATTTCATCAAAAAATTCCACCAGGAGCCACCTCAAATGGCACGTCCGGACAGAAACTTCTATATAAGGACTTATTTGACCCCTTTTTTGCAATTTTGAGGACCAAACTGACCCTTATCCCGATTAAAAATATTTATCATAAATGTTACTCGTATATGAGTTTCAAGAGTGAGAAAGTGAGCAAATAAACACACACACATTATATGTATATGTGTGTACTACTTTTAGTTTTTTGAATATTGTGTAAGAGACATTTTTAGTCCTTCAACGTGAGATTCCCCATAACTAATCTCCCACGTATTAACAAATTTACACCATTAGTCATTCCATTATCTTTTTTCATAATATGTGGAGATTAAAAATGTAACTATGATAGTAATTGAAAATTCAGAAGCGACACTTTTATGAACGTAGAATGATTAAATATGAAAAATTTCAAAGACGAATATTAATAGTGTCTCTCACATGATAGTCCAAAAATAAAAACTGAAAAATTCAAAATCAAATATTAAATGAAATAATTACATAAATATGACCAAAATAAAAAATAATTTACAAAAATATGACTAGTTACTAGAATAGTAATGAAATCATAGTAATTTGTGTTCAAGTGTTGAACTTAAGTTACCAGATCACTATGTTGTAGTAATGAATGTATTTATGTAAATAAGTTTTATTTTAGTAATATGTAAAAAACTCATACGGAGTATTAAAAATGTCACTAACATATCAATTAGAGGACTAAACATAAAAAATATTGTTGTGACGCTCCGATCCGTATATGTTTTGACGTAACATTGTAGTCACTCTGTTAATTTGTTGTATTGTCCTTATCCTTTTGTACAATCAGTACGTTTTCAAGAAAGAATTTATAGTTTGGTTAGAGATAGAGATTCTATGGTTCTCAAACTCTCGTATTGACTTCCCATGAAACCAACCAAAGGATAAGAACCGTGTAGCGAATGCAAGCAATAAAGATTGGGATAGCCGATAGCGCGTTAATCACTCCTTTTTTTTAGCCTGGAAGGAGCGCATTAATCACTCACTATCTTAATCACTTAATCACTCTATTATATTTAAAGATAATACGGAGTAATAATGTACTCCGTAATTAAAATCGACTAATTAAGCATTTTAAAATCAATTAAAGATAATAGTGTATATAATACCGAGCCTTCTAAAAATCGCTCTAGCCTCGAGGTGCTCGATTAGTCCCGACTTTTCGTCTAGGAGCTATGCAGTGGCCGGACATTCCGATTTTAGTCTAGGCGTTCCGAC